AAACAACCTGGCTTTGTGTCTTCAGCAAACATCTGCTAATCAGTCACCAGATGGGGGTGTTCCCCTGAAGGTTTGTCTGTGTGTAGAGTTCTCAGAGCATGTTGGGGGGGGGGGCGGGGAGAGTTCTTTTTCTGTTTGTTCAAATGTGTCTCCCTTACCTCGATGATTCTCCATTAACTCATCATGGCTACAGGGCTAAATCAGTGCTATTTAATGAATCTGTGTAACGTTCTAGCTACTTGAATTTAAGGTGGGTAAATGAAATGAATTTAAGGTGGGCAAATAAAAAACAAAACATTATCCTTACATTCCATTACCCACCTTACATAGCCCTCAGTAGATTCGCCTAATCCCCTTCCGTGGGCTAGTGAATTTCAGTAGGAAAGAGGGTGCCTCCATGCCATTTTGGAATGGGGCTGTAGGATAAGAAATGGACAGCAAGGTTAGCCGTCCAACTCACCAGCTGTTCCTCAGAAAACCTGTACACGCTCGCTATAACTTGGAACCAACTAGATGGCACTTAACAACAACAAATGAGATGGTGTTGGTCCAGACAGAGAGCCCGACAGCCAGGTTTGAGTCCAGTGTGAAGTTGATCATGATGATCATTTCTTCCTTATCTCAGATTCTTCACTTTCAAATAGAGCTTTATTAGCAGCCTGGCAACTGTTATGTGGCTCTGGTCAGAATCACCTCAGGGGGCTTTGGGCCAAAGGACAATTTATAGAGATATTGGTGTTTGGTTGTTACAACATATTCACTCTCCTAATCGTCTCCTAAGGTGCTCTGGTAGCATAGTGGTTATGAATCAGGATGCTAATCTCATGGTCAGCAGTTCAAAACTACGAGCTGTTCCTCGGAAGAAAGATGAGGCTTTCTGCTCCCATAAAGATTTACAACTTCGGAAACCCTGTACAGGGTTGCTATGAGTTTGAACTGATTCCACAGCACATAACAACAACAACAACAACAACAACAACAATCCTCTACTGGAATCCTGGTATAGCAGTGTAGGATAAACATTGGACCACAAGATCATTTTGAACCACAAAGTCAGAAGTTCAAACTCACCAGCCACTCCCCAGAAACCCTGAGTTGGAACTGACTCCACAGCACTTAACAACAATCCTCTCCTGGAGCCCTGGTAGCATAGTGGGTTATGAGTTGGGCTGTGAACCTCAAGCTCAGCAGTTTGAATCTCACAGCTGCTCCATGGGAGAAAGATAAGGTTTGCTCTGCTCCTGTTAAGATTTATAGCCTCAAAAACCCTACACAGGGTCGCTGTGAGTTGGAACCACCTCTATGGTCCATAACCACCATCACCACCAACACCACAATTTGGACATATTATTAGGAGGGACCAATCCCTGAGGAAGGTCTTTATGTTTGGTAAAGTGAGGGTCAGTGAAGAGAGGAAGACCCTTAACGAGATGAATTGACACAGTGGCTGCAACAATGGGCTCAAACACAATTGTGAGGATGGTGGAGGATCAGGCGGTATTTCGGTCTGTTGTACATAGGGTTGACAGCACTTTAGAACATTCCAATAAGGCTCAAGGAAGAATGGAGTGAAAAGTACCTACAGGCCTTCCTTTCCTGGTGTGTGAGGGGTTGTATTGTGCTGGGGGATGGAGATGTGTAGAGGGACAGGATTCCTAAGTTTGGAAAGGGAAGAGGGTATCATTATGGATATGCCCAGGAAGGTGGCCCTAGCTCTGGGATCTAGTCTCTGTAGTGTTTCCAAGTTCCGGAAGAAGTAGGGTCACTAGAGAGCCTTAAACTGGGAAGGGAACAAAGGCCCAGAGTGATCTTCTTGAATAGAGAGGCACCCAAGGATCTGTGGATGCTCTGGGAGCCACACCCAAGCATGACTGACATCGAATTTCCAATCACCAGCAGAATGGAGGCTTGAAGTCAGATTCAGTGGGTTTAATCACTAGGAATCATTTCACACAGGTGAAGCTTGTGGAACAGGAATACTCAGAGTATTCCATAAGTGCCTAGTTTCAATGTGAGCTCCAGGATTATGAAGGGCTTTAAAAAGTTCAAGGAAAATAGAATTAAAAGATACTGGAATGTTTCCATGAACTTTTTGAAGCCCCTTGTACTTGTTGCCTCTCCTGATTGAAATCTTCCAGAAAATCAGATTTGCAGGCACCCCTTCACCTTGTCATCAACTCACACTTGAATTTATCCAAGGTCATGTGGGGTTTGAGAGCCGTCACACTAGTTTCATGTGCTGGACAGCAAAGTTGGTTTGAACCACAAGGTCGATGGTTTAAGCTCACCAGCTGCTCCTAGGAAACCCTAGACAGGGTTGCCGTGGGTCAGAACCGACTCAATGGCACTTAACAACAACAACAACACACTAGTCTCACAGATGGGGTTGTTAAAAGTGCAATTTCTACATCCCTTTCAGATCTACAGAAAAATTCTGAGGCTGGGTGTTGGGAATCTGCATTTTGACTGTCCTCTATGAGAGTTTTCTATTCAAAAGATGTTTTTTTCATCTTTGCTCTAGAATGTAAAATGGCTTACTCTATTATATCCCTGGATGGGTATTAAGAGGAAAGATTTGCCGGAGGAATAGTGTCATGGGCTCTGACTAAATGATCACTTAGAGGATGACATTGATTGTTTTGTTTTGTGGATTTAACTGTATAAGGAGCTCTGGTAGCATAGTGGTTACGAATCGGGCTGCAAACCGCAAAGTCAGCAGTTCGAAACTACCAGCTGTTCCGCGGGAGAAAGATGAGGCTTTTACAGCCTCGAAAACCCTGTACAGGGTCACTATGAGTTGGCACCGACTCCACGGCACATAATAACAACAACAAATCTAACTACACTCTGCACTATAAACTCAAGGGCAGAGGTTAGGTCTCACTAGAGTTTAGCACTATTGACCCTAAACAGTGACCTGCAGAATTGAAGGAACAAGAAGTGCCTGCTGCCTGCTCAGTCCCTGTGTGATGGTTGTGAGTTGCATTCCCTTGAATCCTCATGGGCCCCTCTGTCCTGAAAACTGGGTTCTGTCTGCTCTCCGAAAGATACACAAGTCAGCACAAATTCATGACCAAGTTACATCAATAGCAAAATTATAATATATTAATAGTAATAGTCATAATAGGGTAACTATTGGAGAGGGAAACCAATCTTCTAGTATCTGAAGGTTGGCATTCATTGTTCATGAACTCAGTTGAAGGGAAAACCTCCAGAATTGGGTAAATCACTGTGAGAAGGGCCAGGGTTAGTTGCAGCAAATTGATTTCCAAGCAGAACCCTTGTAAATGCTGAAAATGGCTCCTAAGGTTGCACAGAGCCTCCTTTCCTGAGTGAGGTCTTTGGAAATTAGGTTGTCGTAACAGTGGCTTCCATGAAGATGTCAGTCTCCTGGCAGTTTGGCCATTGGTATACAGTTTTTGGCTTATTGTCATATGAGGCCTTCTTGGAGGTGTTACGAGTAGAGTATGCTTCTACAAGGTTCTTCCAACAGGAATGACACTTAAGGTCCTTGTAGGGTAAGGCTTTGTGCATTCCATGGACCGATGACGACCAGTTGTTCGAGAGGATGTGGTATATCACCTCTCTGTCCAGTCAAGGGTCAGGCTCAAGGTCAGTCTAATGGAGCCATGGATAGTTAGGATCCTTGTTGACAATATTTGGGTTCTTGGTGCACCTCCCCCCGCCCACAACAATGCCCAACAAACACACTCTGGGAGGAGGCTCTAAGGTAGCAGAAGAGAGGTGAGGTAAGATCTGTGGAAAACCACGTACTAGGGAGATGTCCATACACTACTGCCTTGTACAAAGTCAGTCTCCAGTGAATAGTATTTGTTAATGAAAAGCTTCTTTCATTGGTTTCTAACTCTGAGCCTCGACCACATAGCAGCCTTGTCTCTCAACCCATGCCAGGCCCACAGAGGGCACCCATCTCTCTGGAAGCAGTGAGAAGGGTCTGAGAAAATGTAGATGAATGCAAGCATGTTCAAACCCAGGAAAATCCTCTTTGCTTGCTTCCAATTTGTGGGCCACAGTGAGCCATCCAGCCTGGTGGTAGTTAGCATTCACTTGGCTTCATCCCTTGCTTTGTTGAGATCTCCTATTGCCTTTCTTTGCTCCTTCTTGGCAGGCAGGCTTAAGTCTGGACAGGCTAAGGTCATGTGAAGCCTCCTTATCAACTCCACAGACACTTGGGGAGGCTTCTCATGGCCCCATGAGGGTGGGAGTGTGAGAATCACCACTGCCCCACAGATTCCCCCCAGGTCTTCATCATGGTGTGACTTCCTCAGGTTTAAATACACTCCCAGAATCACAGAGAAAAACATGCAAATCCAAGTATAGAAAGGGCTAGGGCTAAAGTTACTAGCATTTGGGTGTCCTTTCTTTGGGGTTCCTCAGTCCCTGCTCTGGTACCTGAGTGTGGGTAATTGCGAGGGAACTGGCAGTACTTTCCAACATGGAGGCTTCCAACAATGACTTCTAGGGGCAGGAAAGCAAGGGTCTGAGAGGAGGAAGGGAGTTAGCCTTTCCTGGGTTCCCTGCTAAAGTGGAACTCAGCGTCAAGGGAAGCAGTGGCGAGGCTCCTGTGTCCCTTCCCCTGGTCTGGTTATGGGCCATTAATAACTCAGCCCACTTCCTTCTGGCAGCCAGAGGACAAGAAGAGCAGGTATCTCCTTTCCTCTAACCACTTAGGGATTGGTGAGGAACAAGAGCAACTTCAATGTGCATCCAAGTCAGAGGGCCCTTCCCAAAGAATCAGGGTAGACCTGGTGCTCCAGCTGTATATTCCCCCCACCCCAGCTTGGGGCGAAGAGCAGCTCTCAGGAACCATGGAGAGAACATTTTGGGAGGAGAAGGCAGGGAAGTAAATGATGGCTAGGGTGTTCTAATTTAAAAAACAAAACAAAAAGAAAATGGCTTGTCAACGTTAGTAAATACAGACAGGTGTGGGGGAGGCAGGGTCTGCTGTCCGGTGCAGGGCGGCAGCCTGAGGCCCGGGGTCAGATGAGGCCCGCGGCCTTCTCCTGCACGTTGTACTCTTTGTTCTTCTTCACTCGCCAGCTGACAAAGAAGAGCAGCAGCACGCCCAGTGCCTTGTAGCCCACCTGCAGGCCCAGGTACCTGTGCAGCAGGAAGAGATGGGCTGGGTGAGGGGCAGAGAGAACTGTGTGCCCTTGTCCCAAGTCAGGGCCACTAGGAATAAAAACATTATTTATCCAAGTAATAAAACCCAGGGCCCTTCAGAGGAGGGGCAGCAGCAGAAAGAAGTTTGTTGAAGAGAAGGGATGGTGGGTTGGAAGGAGAGATCTTGGTTATCCATCATTCAGGTGGAAATTGCTTTTCTTTGTCCCTTGGACCCAACAGAGAAATAGGTAGGGAGTAGGCAGGGAATAGGTATCGGCCTTCTAATCCAGCGATGTTCATCTCTCTACTGGCATCCTCTAGACAGCCAGACGAGGAGGTCCTGTTCTCCAGAGTCCAGGCTTTCTGTGGTGTAAGGTCCCCAGGGTTCCCAGGACCTTGGACGCAGACGCTGCCAAATCAGGAGGAGCAGAGCGCCTTGTCTCTGTCCTTCTCTGTCCTTCCCCAAACCATTTCTAGCCCCTATACAGCTCCCTCAAGCCCACCCTCTCCACAGTTTCTCATCAGTGAGACAAGAGCAGGTATGGAAGCTGGAAGGCAGGCAGAACTCAGCAGTGTTACAAGAGGGACTCACTCAGGCCTGCTGAGGCAGAGGGCCCCTACCCTTGACCCCTGCCAGGAACTGTGCCGTGGACCTATTCCCTGAGCCGGGGATGCCCCAGCATCTCCTTCCAACCCCGCCATCCCCTTTCCCTTTGACAAACTTCTTTCTGCTGCTGCCCCTCTTGAGGACCTGCAAGGATAGCAGAGTGCATGCTACTTCTGAGGGGCCCTGGGCCTCTTTACCTGGATGCCTCCCTGATTATCTGAAATGTCTGCCACAGATGCCTCTGCTCCTTGTCCATGCCCGAGCCCACAGAGATGGCCCCCTGGTTTCTCACGTTCAGAAGGCTTATGGCCACCCAATGGTCATTGGGCCATTGACTGCCTTTGTTCCTTCTGGGCCCTCACCTGTTTCGGAATGTATCGTTGTTGTAGTAGGTGCAGGCCCCTCGTCTCCCTGAGCACTGTGAACTCCACCGGATGCAGGAATGGTCGATGGTGAGGCCATATAGGGCTGGAGACGGCAGCCAGGCTGGCATCAGCAGAAGAGAGAGTCAGAGAGCCCAGGTCATGGGGTACCTGGCCTTACCAGTGCCCCTGACCGGCTCCCAGGTGTGGTTATAGCTCTGTCGGGCCCTGGGAATCACAGTGGCTTTGGAGAGCAAGGGAGCTGTCAGTAAAGCCAAAATTTGTCTTTCACCAGAAGATTTAGAAGAGAAAAAGACACTAGGTCACCCTTTCAGCATGGAATGAATCATTGAGGTCACCTTGATGTCAACTCAGAGACAAGCAACCCAATTCCCAAGCTTGGAATTGACCAGAGCTTTACTATGGGGCTCTCCTCAAACTTAACCATGGCTGGCCACATGGGAGGAGTGGCTTGTTTGTTCCAAGTGTGAAGGTACAGAGGTGACCTTAAAGCAGTCAGGGCTGGGTTTCGAACCCTGATTTACCCAGGTTCCAATTCCCTGTTCCTGCAATACACCAAGCTGCTCTACTTGGCTTAGATAGCCCCTAGACCTCAACATGCCGTTAAGAAGCCCTGAATGTGCCAGCAGCTGAGAGGTGAGGCTTGGTCCAATAATGGGTATGCCTTAAACTAAAGCCAAGCTAAACCCATTGCCATGACTCATGGAGACCTCATGCGTGACAGAGTAGAACTGGCTCATAGAGTTTTCTTGACTATAATCTTTAAGGAAGCAGATAGCCAGGGCTTTCTTCCATGGTGCTGCTAGGTGGGTTCAAACTGCCAGCCTTTGGGTTAGCAATCAATCACAAAGTGTTTGCACCACCCAGGGACATTCAGAATCCATTGGCGTTGAGTCAATTCTGACTCATTGTGATCCCACAGGACAGAGTAGAGCCCATAGCATTTCCATGGCTGTAAAATCTTTAAGAAAACAGACTGCCTCAACTTTCTCCTGTGGACTGAAAGCAAAGTCATTTCAGTTAGCAGCCCAGTGCTTAATCTGCCGCACCTGCAGGGCTCCTTCCCAGGGACTTTCCCCACTATCACGGAGTCAATTCTGACTCATAGCAACACTGTATAGGGTTCCTGACACCCTCATCTTACTCTGAGGGAGCAACTGGTGGTTTTGAACTGTCAACAAACTCGTTAACACCCAATGCCTACCTCAGTACTACTAGACCCCGTTTCCCAGGGACCTTACTGTGAAGTGCCTTCGAGTCAGTTCCAACTCAAAGCAACCCTGTGTAGGGTTTCTGAGGAGCAGCTGGTAGGTTTGAACTGCTGACTGTCCAGTACTGATCCTACAGCGCCACACTAGGACTCCTTACTCGTTGTCACATATTTTGACTATTCCCCACTCTGTATTATTATAGCGCTAGGCAGTCACTGCACTGTGGGGGTAAGGGCTTGTTTAGGATTCAAACCGAGGCTGGGCTATCCCCATTTCCAGCCTCTGCTTGGGGCCCTGTAAGATGCTGCTTAGGGACTTGTTGTTAAGTGCCATTGAGTCAGTTTTGACCACAGCGACCTTGGATAGGATTTTCTAGGAGCAGCTGGTGAGCTTGAACTGCCGACCTTGTGGTATTAATCCACAGCGCCCTGCCAGGACTTCTTAACGACTAGAGGTGGCCTTATTCAGGACTTGGCCCCACCCCCAAGTGGGAACCCTGGAGAAGAAGGCTCTCTGCTCACTCCCATTCCTCCAGGTGAATGGGGGCAGGAACTAACCAGTAGTATTAACCTCCAATGAGTGTGTCCCTAAGTAGAAGATTTTTAACCAAATCCTCATGAGTGATTTAAAACTTGCTTGAGTTTATAAATATAATGTCCTTTTCTACTATCTCAGGATTGAATTGTGCTCCTGGGTCCAAAATTTAAAAAATAGAGTCCGATCTTAAGTTGTTAAGTGCTGTTGAGTTGTTTCCAACTCATAACAACGCGGTATAGGATTTCTGAAAGTGGTTGGTGGGTTTGAACTACCAACCTTGTGGTGAGTAGTCCAGTGCTTATCCTACATTGCCTCACCAGCTAACTGAGCTCAAGTAAAACACCAAAAGCAGTGGGAGAGAGTTATTGTTTTCAAGGTCACTGAAAGACACAGGGCAGCTTCTTCCCAGCCCAGCCCTGCTGCTAGTTGGGAAATATACAAGGATTCTTTCTTACTCTGCTTCAGAGAAAGTTATAAATGCGGGAACACAGGAGTTTGTCCCAAGAACAGGTAAGATTCTGCTGTCTGGTATCCTCTGTTTGTAACATGGACCAGACAGCAGGGTCTGAAGGGGATCAAGTGGTAGGACAGGAATAACTAGCCAGAGTTCAAAAAATCCTGCTGAAAAGCTGTTTCATTCCTTATCACCAAACTTCACCCAACCTAGGCTCACAGAGGGCTGGGCAAAGGCTCCTGCTCATCAGTTGGTCCCAGGAGGGGACAAACATCAACCCACCCCAGAATGACAGCAGTGTGGACCTGACCCCTCCAGCAATAAGGACAATGAGCTCCACAGAGGTATCAGCGTTTCAGGTCAGAAAGTACACTTGATAGTAACTTCAGCGGCCCCTCTGCTGTAATCTCATTTTCCCCACTGCGGTGGACCCAGCTGCTATCAAGTCCACCCCCTATTCCTGGCCACCTCATGTGCTTCAGAGTAGAACTGTGCCCTACGGAGTTTTCATTGACTGATGTTTTGGAAACAGGTGCAGTTGTTAAGCACTCAGCTGCTAACAAAAAAGCCAGTGGTTCGAGCCCATCAGCTGCTTTGCAGGAAAAAGAGGTGGCAGTCTACTTCTGTAAAGCTGTGTAATCTTGGAAACCCCATGGGGCAGTTCTAGTCTGCTCTGTAGGATAGTGTTATTATGAATCAGAACTGACTGATAACTACAGGTAGATGATTAGACACCTCTAGGTGGATGTGAACCTTCAACCTTAGCAGTCAAGTGTCTCAACCACTTGTTGATCCCAGTAAGCACTCACTGGGTCCTTAATATGCCTTTACTGAATTCACTGAATCCCTGTTGTTGTTGTTGTTAAATGCTGTTGAGAGTGTTCTGGTTCATAGCAACCCAGTATAGGGTTTGTAAGGCGTGGCTGGTAGGTTTGAACCACCAACCTTGCAGTTAGCAGTATGGTGCTGATCCTACAGCACCACACCAGTGTTAAGTCAGGTGCCTGGATGTGACAAAAAGGATGGCACAACATGAGCCATCTGGAGAAAGGGACTGTTATATGCAGTGAGGCCCATTGCATGTCTCCCTGTCCGCCCAGGGAGAGCTGGGTGCCATCCTGGTTGAGCAGTACTGATCATGTACACAGATGGATTCCACTGTCGGATGCTGGGCTGCTTGAGGGCAGACAAAGGGCCCACAAATAGGACTCATTCCCAATAAGACCCACTGTTAGTGAATCAATTCCTATAGGGCAAAGTAGAACTGTTCCTTAGGATTTCCCATGAGTGGGTTTGAACCACTGACCTTGTGGTTCGAAGTCCAACGCCTACCCCACTGTGCCACTGGGAGTCACGCTGTGCTTGTTGTTAGTTACTCATAGTGATACACGGTCACTAACTGTTGGAACCAACTTGACGGCACTTATCAGCAACGACAGATTTCCAAAGAGTGGTTAGTGGGTCAGCAGTTCAGTATGTATCCGACAACGCCACACCAGGTCTCCATCAGGAGTCAGGGGGACTCAGTTTTATAAACTGGAGAAGAAACTGGGGGTGGGCCCAGATGTTGTTCTGGCCACAACAGGAATGCAAGGTTTTATTCTTACGGCAGAGTTCTTAGAGAAAGATGGAAAAATACCTGCTTTTAATGTTTTATTAGGTATGTTCGGCTTCATGCACTTTGCATTCTTCTTACATAATTTAGTGTGGAGGTAATGCCATAAATGGAATCTTTCCTAATCTCAAACAGTCAGAGAAATTGCTGGTATGGTGTTTGGCATATGCAGCTGATTATGCACAGCTGGTCTTTATAATAGAAACAAGCTTCCCCATCCCTGCTCTGTACCCCATAGCCCTAGGGCCATTTCTTGTGAAGCAAGGGGATCTCAGACTTACCCAGCAGGCGCATCAGTAAGAACTGTACCCCGATAGCAAATGACTTTTCTTCCTGATTCACCACACTGCAACGGAAAGTAGGAAGTCAGCCTTGACAGGGTTCAGGGCTGTGCCACCTCACAGTAAGGGGCACCCAGCCTCGGAGCTGTCAGAACCTGCCCTCACATGCCTGAGGGGCCACCTGACTGACTAGAGTCACCTGGGCTGAGTGTTCCTGTTTCTGTCAGTGGCTCTCAAAGCATGATCTCTGGACCAGCAGCAGCACTGGGGAGCTTGTTAGAAGTGTACATTTATAGGCTCTAACCAAGAGCTGATGAATCAGAAACTCAGGGCAGGGTCAAGCAACCTGTATTTTAACATGTATCCCTCCAGAAGATTCGGGTACCTGCTCAAATTTGAGACCCATGGGTCCATGTGATTTTCTCAGCTATCTAGGATCTCCATGAAGAGACAGAGGGCAGGAGGCTGAGGGTGTGTTTATTATAGCAGCAGATCTGAACAATTCCCACAGAGTGGTTTATGCCAGTAAAAGATAGCCCGGCACAAAGTATAATTAAAGCTTCTGGACTAGAGGCTTCTGTGTGTAAGTAGAAGAATCTCCCACCCAGAACAGGCTTCATGGGAGTAAGACATGTAGTCACTTAGAAAGGCTCTGCGTTTGCCTTAATGCTCTGCGGTCGCCATCTTGAAATCCTTAATCAGTTTTTGAACAAGAGGTCATGCATTTTCCTTTTGTAGTGGGTCTTACAGACTATGTCTTGTTTCTACGCTTCCTCCCCCAAGAGGGGAAATGTGCTTGACTGAGAAAGGGTGTCCAGAGAGAGAGATAGAGAGACAGTGGTGCTAGGCCCTGCCCAATGTCAGCTGCGGGGAAGAGCAGAGAGGGAGAAGCCCCCTAACACAACGTGGAGTGTTGGACACCATGGTCCAGCCCAGAAAGCTCTGTAAAAGGCATCCAAGATGTAGGCCCACCAGTCCCGACCAACGTCAGGGGACCCTGTGGCTTTGAGGAAACCCCATATGAGCCTCTTGACAACGAACTCCTTTTGAGCACACACATTCCCAGCCGGGTGCTTGTTAGGAGAAATTGATGAAACAGTGAAGAAAGGAACTCAGGAGCCTTCCCCAGACCTCCACATCCCCACAGCCATAGTTCTACTAGTAAAGTGGGGAGTGACTTTCTCCCAGTTCCTCTGAGGGATGGTTCAGTGATGGAAGGTATACCATCAAGGTATAGGGAGGAGATAGAGGTGCCCACTGAGATGCCCTTCACTAGAAAACTGATCCCAGTGGGTACCCTCTTGATACCTACAGATCCCTCCAACCACCCAACCTGTAATGGATACCTCCAGTGCCTTGCCTGGTGCAAACAGTTAACATGCTTGGCTGCTAACAAAAAGATTGGAGGTTTGAGGCTATCCAAAGCATCCTTGGAAGAAAGGCATAATCTACTTCCAAAAAATCAACCATTGAGAAGTGTACAGAGCACATTCCTACTCTGACACATTTGGGGTTGCTAGGAGTGGGAATTGACTTGGTGGCAACTTGGATCTGTACTTACTTTGCAGAGGGAGATTCCCCTAGATTTCTCAACTAAATGGAACTTGGACACCCTTGGACATCTTTGACATCGGATTGTGATCATGGCCCTCTTCTGGTCTCCGTCCTATTAGGCCCTGAATTATGTTGATTTTTCTGCCTATTTTCTCTCCTTTCATATCTCTAGCTGATCTTCACTCTTAGTCTTTACTCTAAGTCTGGTTGGGGACCAGAACCAATACCAATAATGCTAGGGTCACCTACAATATCATCTTTAAACCTCACTTTCTCACACTAAAACACATCCATTCTTTCCCAGTGAGATTTCTCTTTAAACCATCTGAGAGTCTCCTCTGCAGTTTCACCCCAACCCCCAACCGGACTTGGAAAGGATAGATTTTTCTAGAAGAGCCACAAATTGCCCATCCTGGGGGCGAGATAATGTTCTGTTCTCCATGAATTCCCTATCTCTGGAGTTTGATGAAGTCCTCTGGTAGGTGATTTGACAGGTACTATGCTCTGTCCCTAGTTTCTAAGGGACTCCCCTGTGATATTTCCCTTCCCTGTTCCTTTCTTTGTCTTGGCATCCCTCAGCTACATCAAGGTTATTGTCCACTGTGATCCATCGAACCCAGAGCACAAGGAGGGAACCTCATCCAAGTGACTTGAGTGAAAGCATCAGGACTTGGAATGCACAGAGTGGGGAGGGGTAGAGAAGAGGGTGGCAATATGAGAGGCTGTGAGCATCCCTGCATGTTCTTGTTGGGTTTATCAAGAATGCTAGGTCCTGATTGCTCTTCATTTGGGTCATTTCTCAAGTTGAGGGTATAGTGATCACCCTTAGTGGATGAAGTAACATCTTCCTTTAGACCAAGAACAGGCAGGCTTACTGCTTTTTGTAGAAGGAATGGCTCCCCTAAGCTGTAGCACAAGCCCGCTAGATATGAAACATATCTGAACCCCTTTGAATCACCCCAGGGACTCCAGGGGCAAGAAGAATCAATGCAACATGGTGCTCATGCTGCTTGCTATGCTGTGAGAATAAGGTCCTTTGTGTTTGATCCAGGTCTCATGCATCTGCCAGCATCCATGAAATGCTAATAGGCTAACTTGCTATCTTATGTTGTGGTTAAGTGCCATCAAGTTGGTTCGGATTCAGAGTGACCCTGTATAGGGTTTCCAAGGATCAACTGGTGGATTTGAACCACTGACCTTGTGGTTCAAACCAACCTTATGGTCCAGTGTATTATTCTGCAACTTATAACTAGAGCAGGATCCCAGGCCCTGACGAGGATTCCTTCTTTTCCAAACCCATCTCTATCACGTCAATTCCATCTCATAGCCACCCAATAGCACAGGGTAGAATTGCCTATAGGCTTTCCAAGGTTGTAAATCTTTTTGGAAGGAGATTGCTTCATCTTTCTCCCTCAGAGTGGCTGTTGGATTCAAACTGCAAACCTTTTGGCTAGCAGACCAGTGTTTAACCCACTGCATCATCAGGGCCCCTAACTAATATAAAAGTTCAAAACCAAATTCACTGCCATTAAGGCTATTCCAACTTATAGTGACCCTATGTAGGGTCCTGAGACTCACTCTATGGGAGCAGACAGCCTCATTTTTCTCCTGTGGAGTGGCTGGTGGTTTTGAACCACCAACCTTGCTGTTAGCACCCACAGAACCACCATAGCTCCTTAACCAGTATATATTGTTAAGTGCTGTTGAGTCAGTACCAACTTATAGTGACTCTCTATAGGGACCCACTGAGGAGTGGCTGGTGGGTTTGAACTGCAGACCTTGCAGTTAGTAGTCCAGTGCTTATCCTACAGAGCCACACCAGAAAAAGGGAGGGAAGTTCCACAGACAGACTGGAGAACCCAGCAAAAGGGTAAAAATGAGTAGAACCCAGTATTCTAGACAGCAGAGCCAGGCAGTCTTGTTTCAACCTGTGGTTCTACCATTTTGGCTCTGCGGCTGAGGGTGGTGAGTTAACTTCCCATGTGCAGAATGAGGGCGCTGACAGGGCTAGTGTCAGGTGGCTGCTGTAAGGACTGATAAGCATCAGAATTTACAAAGTGAACCTCCCTTCAGCCCTTTGAGGTAGATATCATAAATGGGGCTCACCAAGGTTAGGCAGCAACCAAGGACATTTAGCCAGTACCTGGTAGAGCTGGGACTTTGACCCCAGCACCCCAACCCAAATCCTGTTCTCTTCATGGCAGTTGGAGAGGTCAGGATGAGAGACAGGGTGGTGAGGTAGGCAGGAGGAGGCAGGGGTGGAAGGGGGGGAAATGGGCTTGGTTGCAGAGGGTGAGGTGAAGGGATGGTTGTTGTTAAGTATTGTCCAGTTGGTTCCGACCCACAGCTACCCTGTATAGGGTATCTGAAAAGCGGCTGGTGAGCTTGAACCGCTGACCTTATGTAAACCTCAGAGGCCCTTTAGTGCCAGCTGTTCGCTGTCCCTCCTGCTCTGGACATCTCCCTACCTAACCTGAGAACTTGGTCTTGTCTCCTAGCACTCTGGGATCTACTCATTTTTATCCTTTACTGGGGACCCCAGTCTATCTGTGAAACTTTCCTTCTTCAACTTTTTGTATCCAACTGAATTTTCCTCCCTCCTCTCAGATCTTCTAGGATTTAAAAATAAGCAAATGTAAAGGCATTTCCAAAGGGTCGAGCCAGGCAGCATGGTTTCAACATGTGGCTCTGCAGCTGTGGGTGGTGATTTAAACTCCCATGTGCAGAATGGGGGTGCTACCAGGGCTGCTGTCAGGCAGATGTCATGAGGACTGTTGAGATGTTGCCGTGAGGTGCTCAGCACAGAGCCTGGTACAAGCCAGAGGTCCTCACCACTGATACCACTCATGTTATCTTCCTGTATCACTGAAAGAATCCTGCACATTGCTGTTCAAAGGATGCCAGCCAGGGGCCAGCAAAGGGAGGAGGGATGAGAGAGGCAGGTAGCTGGGTGTACAGACAAAGACAAGCACGAGTAGTTCATCCTGGTTGAGAGTTGTCACTCACCGCAGAACCATCATGTAGAGGGGGTTGTGGGAGATGCAGGCTATCAGGGCCACGAAGGAGATGAGGAAGATGGTTGGGAGCAGGAAGTGGGCACAGGAGATGGGACACGACCCTGTCTTTGCGGAACCGGATCCTTCATTCACACAGCTGCAGTTCAAATAGATCTTGAAGAGGAGAGGGAGGTTTAAACAAAGGAAAAATCTGCTGTCAGCACTTCACCTCCGCACACTTTAGACGTCTGCAGTTCATGCTAGATAGTCCCTCAGATTTCAACCCCTTTGCCCTCATGGTCCGTCCCCTAGGGAGCAGCCAGATCCAAGTGATGCTGAGTGCTAAGGCAGGAGAGGCCAGGTACATTTCAAGGTGCCTGATGGATCCCACCTCTGATTGTATAGAAATCGTCTTCACCAAAATTAGTAGTTACTCCCACATCATGGTATCCAGACACAGTCCAGGGATCTCCCGTGAGCCAAGGCTACATTTTCCCCAGCAGCAATGGTTTTGTGGGTAGTTGTTTTTATTGTTTATGTGTTTATTGCCGGAGAAGGTAAAAATAGAGGACAACAGTGGAAATACAGTGGAGTCTACTGAGCTCTGAATCTGTCAGCCTTTTCTTTGCTGGAGCTTCCTGTCTGAGAGGAATTCCTCTTGTCTCTAGAGAACTCTGGGGAAGCAGATCTAACTCACAAATCAGCAAATCCATATGGATTAACACTTGGTGCGACTCACCTTGGTGGCTCCTGCCTCTGCCTGGCAGTCCTCACTCAGCCTATGACCATTTCAGTGCCATAGCACTTGTGGGGTCAGGAGTGGAACTAATGAGTTGGTATGCTTCCTTTTACCAGATGGTAAGAACTATGCACCCTCTTTGTCTTGGCTGCTAGGAAGCTCAGAAATAAATTTTGGACAATATGGATATCATTCCTGTCAACCTAGATTTTTATAATTTAAAGTTTTTACATTATAAAAATTTTATTGTTTTTTTTCTTGGTAGTATGCTAATGGATTTTGATCTTGATGTACTTAAGTTATTATTAGAAGCTTGTCAAGATTATTTCTGGAAGTAGATGAGTAAGAGTTGAATAAAGTTAAGAAAACCACAGAAATCACCACAGACTCCTCTAACTTGAAAGCAACTAAGAGAGCATTTCCTCCCAGCTCCTTGTTCTCTGGCTGTCTGGGAACCATGCCCCTCTGCCCACCGAGATGGCTGTGGAAGCAGTCCTGTTCAGTCCTCTCAGAGGAGAGGGGTAAAAGCGGGCTAGCCCTGTGCATGCCCTCCATATCGGCTTCTGGGAATGAGATGTGTTCCATTCTCTAGGGGACTCCATAGACTTTCCACTGCTCTTGGGAAAAAGAACATCCAATCCCTAAACCTGGCCTACCTAACTCTGTCCACTGCCTGCCTCCTTAATCAAGCTGTTGTGCAACTCACCTTGATGGCTTCTGCCTATGCCTCATACTCCCTTCCTCTTGCAGTGTTCAGTGGCCCAGCCTATGCTCACTTCAGTGTTATAGCACTTATGGGGTCAGTATTACAACTAATGAACTGATATACTTCCTTCTACCAGATAGTGAAAACTATGCACACTTTTTACCTTGGCTGCTAGGAAGCTCAGAAATAAGTTATGGATAGTATAGCTGAAATCTCCCTGGTATTCCTCTACCTTCAATGCCAACCCTGGCTTTCTCTCTTTTCTCCTGGGACATACCCAGCTCATTCACACCTTGAGGCCTTACACTTGCTGTTCCCTTTACATGGAATGCTTTATTCCCAGATCTTCATAGGGGCTTCTTCTTTTGATTTTCCAGTTTTAATGTTGCTTCCTCAAGAAGGCTCCCAGGCACTCTCTGTCCTATTAAGTCTTTCTTTTTTAATTGATATATTTGTATAAAAATACATTTATCACCCCTGCATTTGATAGAATGTAAACTCCTCATCTACTGTGTTCACCACCATGTCTGCAGTGCCTCTGCGCTGTGTTCCCCAACCCTCTGTTCAATTGCTGAACAAATAACGAGTTGGTTTGCTGCTGGCTGACTTTATAAGGTGGGAGCCACAGCACTCACAGCAGGGATGAAGAAGAACTCATCGAGTGAGTGTCATTGAATGAGGGCTGCCTGAGTCGAGGGCGATGGCCAGGAGATAGCGGGCTGTGAAGAGAAGAGCCCTGTACTGAGATGGGGCTCTGGACACTCGTCCCATGTCTACTGAACAGCACTGACTTCCAGCCAACTGCATGGCCTTAGCTGGGATCTGAGGGTTTGGACCACATCATCTCTACTCTGGCTCCTGGCTCTAATCTTCATGTCCATGCCATAGAGACCCTATGCCTTTGAATGATCTGAGCCAGTCCACACGCCTTTGCAACTTGGCCAGGACCCAGGACCCAGAGATGTTCACTAGGACCCATCAGGAGAGGCTTGAAGGTCTTGGCTGAAGGAGTGCCTTGGCTTGTGTCTGCTCTGAGCATTGATAAATCTTCAGCATTTGAATTTTGTGGATAGCGGCCAGACTTTAACTGCCTTTGGGCTGTAGACATCTGGTCATGACCTTTGGAAAGGGGAGGTGGGAGCAGAAGGTGTGGTCAGGAGGAGGCCAGGATGCTGGTAATGAAAGCGTGTGGAGTCATGCCCATCCCAGAGACAAGGGGCCACCTGTGAGAACAGATACCGAGTTCAGAGACCCCCAAGACACCTTTCTGCCCCCAGGACCACAGCAGCTCTCACCATTTGTTTGGTGGCCACAGAACTACTGTTGACGTGACTGCAGCCGGCATGGCAAGGGGAGAGGTACTCGATTCCGTTGTCTCCACAGACAGGATGGAAGATGGAATCTGGGCATGAGCAGTCCCTGCGGCAGGCAGGAGGCTTCAGATGTATAGAACTTGATGTGCTGCCAGCAAAACAGGAACCGGGGAATCAAACAAAGCAAAACCAAAGAAAAAATTCTACCCTCAACCCAGTGTGAGCCCTAGGGCTGGTTAATGTGCCTGCGTGTCTTTGTTTGTTTGGGGCTAGTGCCACTGAATAGTGCCTAGTAGAGCCAACAGTGAATTTGTCACTGGCTGGTGGTCATGGCACCTCTCCATTTCTTCCACCACTTGGAGCCCCACCCATCTGCTTCCCAGACCAAACCCAGTAACTATTCAGAAAGCCTGATTGGCAAATCTCCTGCCAGAGCAGGGGTCAACATCACCGGTACCTAGGATTCTAATGAGAGAAATGGCAAATGGAGCCAGAAAATCACAGGCAGTTTTTCTTTTGTTTTCCATCTGTGCTCTAGTTGTGGGAAGAGGCTGGGACCCCTTGAAGCAAGTAGGGTCTTGTTGGCTGCCTATCTACAGGGTCTATGCAGACATTGCCCAATTCACCCAATGCCCCTGAACTTCAACCAGGAGGATTTCACTGGCTGATCTCACACGTCCCACCATTTCATTTGTTTTCTTAATGATATCCTTTGGAGAGAGTTGGGATAGGGATGGACAAACACCACAACCCAGAGCTTTGCTAAAATCATTATATCAATGTTGTTGCTGATGTTGGTACCGAGCTGCTGCTGTTGTCATGGTGACCACATGTGACCAGAACGAAGTGCTGTCCTGGCCCTGCATCATCTTCACAGTTATTGATACTGCTGAGTCTTCTGTTAGGGTAAGGAGCTCTGGTAGCGAAGTGGTTATGAGTCAGGCTGCTAACCTCAGGGTCAGTAGTTTGAAATTACCAGCCGTTCCATGGGAGAAAAATGAGGCTTTCTGCTCCCGTAAAGATTTACAGTTTGGGAAACGCTAAGGAGCAGTTCCACTCTATCCTACAGGGTCACTATGAGTCAGAATCAACTCGATGGCTGTAGGATTGTGGAAGAGAAAACTTCAATAAGTTAAGTAAGTTCCCTTAGCTTGTAAAGAGCAGGGCCAGGGCTAGAATCCAGAATTGCAGATGATGAAGCCCTGCGCTATAAACTCCCAGTGAAACCATTCAACCACATAGTTAGTACATATAGATTGAAGTCCCCATCCTGAGCAACCCTCCCTGTTCTTTGGAGCCCTTCTCTCCTTCACTCACCAAAGACAGAATAAGTTATTTCAAAGAGAAAGACAGAAAACAAAACAACAACAACAACAAAAAAAACCAAGATGGAAAAGCACATCTTTAGGTGTTGCAGCCTCATTAAGCACAATCTAAAAGAAAAGATCGTTGAATTTAGCACCCAGGAAAAACGAAAATGTTCCTTGCTCAGCATCCTGCCCCCGTAGACCTTTGAAGTCTTTCCTGAGCTTAAAAAGTTCAGGAAGGACTTTAAACTTAAACTTCGGCCCCACATTGCTTTATGCCAGGGATGGGGGACGTCTGGCCCACTGCACAAGCGTGGCCCATGTAAGGCGTGCGAAATCATTTGGTCTGGTTCTGCCAACGCAACTGCAATTCCAGCCTTCACATTAGGGGTGAGTTAATTAAATGTTTGACCAAATACAGCAGGCTAGTTTTTTAAGTTGATAATTTTGTATGGCCCATGAGCGATGTTATAAATTTTGGCAGAAAAAAGGTACCCAACCCCAGCTTTATGCAACCCAGTTGATATACTTCACCTGCCCTTTCCCTCACCTGCCCTATTTTTGCAAGTCTGCCATAACTTCCATTGTTCTTCTCCAGATCTTTTCAAGCCTACTTCTCTCCTCTTTCTTTAGCAGCTCAATGAGATTCTGTAATTCAAGCCAGCAGTGCTAATGCTAAACATAGCTTACTTCCTGGTTTCTGTGGCTCACAGCCCAACAGATTCATCCTGAAACTATACTGATCAGTTTTGGGTGTTTCTTCAAAAACAGAACTCTAACTCTGATCACGGGTGGTTCATGAGGACCCTTTGATCTCTTCTTATAATTGAGCAACCATTCGGGTTTTGGTTTTCTAAATTGCTACATGAGAGATTAGTCAGAAACTGAAAAGGAGAGAAAGACTTGAGAAGGCAGGCAGGAGAACATGTGGCAGCCAGAAGCAAACTCTAGCCTGGGTGCTGGGTCGCTCTGTACCTCTCATTTCTATTACCTGAGGGGGTAGACCTCTGCCACAGTTGGGGTGGAACATCCCATGAAGAAGAGAGGGATCGAGAAGATAATCGAGATGGTGATGATGGCGGCAGCCACACGGGGGATGGTTTGCAGAGAGAACACAAGACGTTTCATGAGGATCCCTCCAAACAGTATTCCTAGGGCTGCAGCAGGGAGGTTCACAGCACCTGGGGATGGAGAGGAGTGGGTCTCAGTACACAGGCCTGAGAGTGTGAACAGGCACGGCTTTAGGAAAAAAGACTTGCTTTGGAGTCCTGGTGTGGCTCTGTGGGTTAATGTGCGGGATGCAAGGTTGATTTAAACCACAAATTCCGTGGTTTAAGCTCAGCAGGTGCTCCTTGGAAACCCTATACAGGGTCCATACTCAATCGGAGTCCTGGTATATAGCACTGTAAAATAAGCTTGGAACAGATAGCTGTAAGGTTGATGGTTCAAACCCATCAGCTGCTCCTTGGAAACCCTATACAGGGTCACTATGAGTCGATACTGACTTGAAGGCACTTAACAACAACATCATACTCAATTGTCTCTAGGAGTGTGTTGAGGGAACTTTTAGTTCTTGCTTTTGTAACATTTAGGTTTCTTATATGAACCTGTATTTTGTAAGCCAAAAAAATCATTTTAAAACAAATGATACTGTTTGAGGAAATTAGCATATAATTCAAGTGCACCTCACTTTCTGCAATAGTCTGGAAGCAGAATCTGGGACACAGTAGTACCAATTGCAGTTGAGTAAGTTTTGACTCATGGCAACCCCATTTGTATCAGAACAGGACTGTGCTCCGTAAGATTTCACTGGCTGTTGTTTTTTTCTTTAAATAACCAGAACTTTCTTCAGAGGTGGATTTGGACCTCCACCCTTTCAGTTAGCAACGACCATATTAACTGTTTGCACCACCCAGGGACTGCCTCTGGGACATTTCAGGACCTCAAAACAAACTAGCTGGATGAAGGGACTCTCTCTGAAGATAGGAGGCACACATTTTTCTCTTGGGTCTTCCTCCCAGCCACTAGAGCAGCAATACATTTTGTGAGCAGAGGGGAGGGGAAATGGTAGGTGGTCTTGTGGGGGTTGGATAGAGTTGGGGTGTGGATATGTGTGGTGACATAGAGTCAAATGTGAAGAAGAGTCTGTGCCAGGATATTGGAGGGGCCAACAACCAGAATTCCATCCACTCAAGGACTGATGAACAGCAAGCCTCAGAGATGCCCCATGACTGTTCCCAGGCCCTGGGCAAGGCCATGGGTCTGACAGGGCATAGTCATCACTTCTCCTCCTGGTTCCTCAGACTGGAGGGGCCATTGTGGTCTGCAGCTGTCAAGCCCCAGTGTAAGCTGTCCTCGTAGGGATTTGGGGAGGCTGATGGAATCCCATGGGTGAATAAAATTGTTTTGCTGAGTATTTGAATTTAGGCTCTTTCTGCAGGGACTTCCTTAGAAATGATCCCAAAGTACTCTCACCAGCTAGCTGGTGGGACTGAGCAGTTGATCTCAGAATTGAGCCTAACTTTCCTAGGGGTTATACAGAATACGGCCACACCATTGTGGTCAAGCTCTCCTGTGGTTTGGGCCTTCACACTTGGAAACTTGATGGGACCACATTAGTGCTTTGTGTCCCAGTTGTAAAAGCAGTGATGCTGGCCCCCACCTCCAGAGAGTCTGGTTTCATTGATCTAAGGTGGTGCCTAGGCATCTGTGTTTTTTAAAGCTCTCTCAGAGAGCAGTGTTATCTGTATGATAAACACTGAACTGAAACCACAGGGTCGGTGGTTTGAGCCCAACTATGGGTCTGTGAGAGAGAAGCTTTCTGTTCCTACAAAGATTACAGCCTTGGAAATGCTATATGGTGGCTATAATTCAGAATGAACTCTATAACACTTCACAAGAACAACAATAACAAAGGGAGTCTAAGTCTTCTCAAACAATTGAGCTCTCAGCTACTAATTGAAAGGTGACAGTTTTAAGTCCTGGTGATCTACGTCTGAAAGATCACTGCCATGGAAACTGGGGAGCCAAAAGTGTGGCCAGGGCTGGGGATCACTGGGCTACAAACTCTCTTACCCAAGCAAATGCAGTCAAGTCTAACCCCACTTGCCTAACCACAAATTCCATCCTCTCCCTTTCCTCTGATGTCAGGACCTTTGGGAGGTTGTCAGACTTCCAGTCTTTCTGTCCGGGAGGAAGGCAGCCCCTATCCTCCACCCACATAGGAAGAGGAAACCCTTAGGTGAACTCCTGACTGGAAAGATAGGGGCACTATAAATCTGCCAAGAACGTTCTAGATTGCTAACCAGGAAAAATGTCCTTAAAATTCTTTCTTCTTTGGCTCCTGTGTGTTTCCGGTCTGGTCTTCACGCCCCGTTCCCTCATTCCCCATGGGTGATTGGAGTGCCCAGTCCCTCCTCAGGCAAATCCACTCAGTTCCTGCTGTGCCCTCCCAACTCACCGATGAGGAAGTTGGCATAGGCTGCGGAGGCGCCATACTGCTTCTCCAGGAACTTGTTGAGGAATGTGGAGAGACCAGCAATGACGGAGGAGAAGGTGCACTGGGCCAAGACCATCAACATGAAGAGCGGGTTCATCAGGAGCTTCAGGAAGATACGGGGGAACCCTGCAAAGAGACCCCTGTTCACAGCCAAGTCTTTGGGACAGATTGTCAAAAGGATAATGTGAGACTGACTACTGTCCTTGCCCTTCCTGCCGGGAAATTCTCTCCTCTTCCTCAGGGGAGAAATCAAAATGTTCAGTGACCAGCTCAGAGGCACACAGCCACTGAGATTCCCATTCAACATGCTCATGGGCCAAATAAGAGTAAAATGTGTCTAAAAGCAAATAAGAGTAAAATGTGTCTAAAAGGTGGCAGGTAGATGGAACTATGTGAGGGAATGGTCTCTTCACATAACAGCTCCCTGCACATGAAGAAGCGAGGAATATGGAAGTCAGGGCCATAAGGTGGGAAATGGGGCTGACTGCCTAGAGATCTTGGCTGGAATTCTGGGGTCCTGATATGTGCAAAGAAGCAGAGTGACCAGGACCTCTGAGCTGCAGGAACACCTGGGGGCTAGAGGCCAATTCGGACCATCTTACCATCTGCCTCTTACCACACATCATCACATAGTTTGGGGAACCCTTTGACTGCCATCCTACTGTGAACCAGCCCACCCAGAGCAGCTGGGACAGTCAATTACGTTTAATGAAATCCATCAGGGGCCTCCGTGACTTGACCCCTTCCATCTTCCTTGCTTCATCTGTGATAGGATCAGAACTCTGAAAAGGGAAAAAGAGTGAATGTTGGTGATTTCAGGTCCTGCAGCATCCCCTTCCTGGACCCTGGACCCTTCTGGTCTTTGTGGTTCTGGGATGGGCAACTATGGATGTGGGATATGGATGTGGGATGTGGATGTGGGAAAACATCCAGAGGATGATTTTGAAGTTTGCCTGCATTTCAGGGAGCCAGTGCTTTGGCTGGTGATCAGCATGCATCCATGCCAAGATTCCCACAAGCCTATTATTTAATATCTAATTTGTCCATGACTGATGCCAAAATGCATCTTACTACATCCCACCGCTTGTCTGTCTGTCATGACTACACTTGTCCTCATCCTCCGATTTTAGGAGCCACTGGATTCTAAGACATCTGGTCTACAAGGTCCTCTATTTCCAGCTTGTTCTTTCGGTCTCTTATCCTGACTCAGAGTTGAACCTGGCTCAAGACTCTGTACTGGCCTTTTGCCCATACTCCCTGTGCGTCTACCCTCAGTGAACTAGCCTACCTCTTGTCAGTGCATTTGCTCCAGCCTGAGCCTCCTCTAGCTCTGAACCAGCAGCACAAATACCCTTGAGTTCTGACACCATTTAGGCCCTCTAAGGGACCTCAGGACTCTGGGTGTGGTGCTGTAGGATCAGTACTGGACTGCTAACCACAAGGTCACTGGTTCAAACCCACCAGCTGCTCCTTGGAAGCCCTATATAGGGTTGCTATGAATCAGCACTGACTCGACGGCACTTAACAAGAATAACAGGGGACCTCATCACCAGGAACAGAAGCTCCCATTATTGAGTGCTTGCTCCATGCTGGGGACTTTGCCTAACGGTCCACATGCATCTTCTCATTTCTCCCAGCCTCCTCCCAAGATAGATACTCTAGTTATCTCTAAGAAACAAACTTGCCTAAATCACTCAATTAGTTTATAAGTGGAAGAGTTGGATTCAAAACCATGTCTGCCTGGCCCTAAACCACTAAGACATGCTGCCAACTTCTGAGATTCTTACCCCTGCCCCTACTCCCATGGCTGGGCCTTCATTTCACACACCTCATTACCAAACTTCAGGCTCAATCACTGACTTAAAACCTTGACATGGCACTAAGTAGTATCCAATCTGATTAGGTGGGGCTGATGAAAGGAAATGCGGACGGATCTCTTGTGATACAATAGTGAATAATGGTTACCGGGACTGATTGTAAGGGTTGGAAATGTAAATGTAGACATTTTGTAGCAAGGAGGGGAGTGATTAACTTTTCAGTCTAGGAGTGGAGGTCCTTAGGACCATCAAGGGAGAAGAGTGGAGAGCGGGACCCTACCCAGAGAAGCAGTGATGCCTGAGACAGAGGCAGAGACGATGACATAGAGCAATGGAACAGCTGGGGACTTTAGTACTAGAGAGGGAGAGGGGCTGTGTTCTGACAACCAGGGGGCAGGCTTGCTGGGGTATACCCTTTGGTTGGTTGATGATGCATGGAGGGGATTGTAACCATGGCAATAAAATGATATACCATAGGATGAATGTAAAACTAATGTTCTCCCATGCAAACTATCACATAATTCACAATAAAACATTAAAAAACAAACAAACAAACTTGACACACGCAAAAAGATTTAAGTGTTGGACTACTAACTGAAAGGTTGGTGGTTCAAACCTCTCAGAGCTGCCTGCTGATCTGCTTCCAGAAGGTCACAGCCTTAAAACCCTATGGAATAATTCTACTTGGCAACACATGGGATGGTTATGAGTCAGAATCAACTCCACAGACATGAGTTTTTTGGTTGGGGTCTCCAATCAAACTCCCTGCTGGATCCTACTTGGCATTCTTTCTAAGAGCATTTTCTCTTTGCCCTGACCCCAGTTCCCCTGGCCTCATCTGCATCCTCCATCAGTCCCCTGAGCCTCTGTGCTGGTCTCTTCAGATTTCCAGCCTCTATTCCTTCCTGACCCTCAACCTCCACCCAGCCATCAATATGCCACGCAGTGGATATTGAGTCACTGAAGTCCCATAGGACTTCATGGGATTAGAGCAAACTGTAGACTCTCAGTCTTGCATCAAGGCCTCCCACCCCAATTTCTTATCCATCCCTGATTTCATTCCCCAACAGCTAAGACTAAAAGAAGCCTGGGAGGGTGCTCTGGTCCTAATATGTTCTACTCTCACACTTGACAGTGCTAGGAATCCCATCCTAACTCAGCACTTCTGATTCTGACATGGATGGGTTCTATAAATGCAAAAGTCAACTGTACCAGGTCACATACTCAGCTTTTACTGGTTCTCAACTCTTTAGCCCAACTTAGATGAACTCAGTGGTTCCCTGGAACCTCCTGAATCTTGACAGGTTAACACAGTAGGGGAACACTGATGTGATATGACATTTTGGGAATTTATCAGCACCCTCACCTCTCAAGGCCTCTGAGAAGTCTTGTATCCATGAAACTTGTTTGGATTTCACCCAGATTTTGCCTAACCTGCTGCAGCTTCTTAGCTCAGTTTATAATACATTCCCCCCTTTCTTAAACTCCTATGGAAAGAGTCATGAGCTCTGATAACCTTACCTCGACTCCTGTGGACATGGCTCGAGGAAAGAAAAAAAAAGGGAAAGAGATGACAACCAAGGAGGCTGAAGATATGAGCAGGCCCAGCCACCAGGCTCCAATCCATCGGGGGTCCTTGGGGCTCAAGTTAACTGTGGCTGAAGAGAAACCAAAGAACATGGTGTTTATTGAATAAATGCATGAACGCATCTTTCTGGAACGAGACTGCCTGATCAAGGGAAATTTTAGTGGCTTTCTGCCCATGATGCAGAAGAAGTAAGCCATGAATTAGCTTCAGGATGTTCTGATTTGGCCAAGACCAGTCACCTCATCTAGAAGGTCAAAACAATCCTCAAGCTGACAGGACCAGAACTCTCACCTCACCTTATTTTATTCGTAACTCTTGGTAGGAATAATGATGAAGGCAACTAACTCTGTGGAGGGCTTCCCATAGGCCAGACACTAGATGGTGTGTTTTACATGTGTTATCCCATTGAGTTCTCTTAGCAAGCCTATCCACCTCTAACCAATTGGAAAACCAAAAAACAGAGATGTTTTTTGTTCAAAGTTAAGGCTAGTAAGTGCCATTTCATCGGTCAACTTAAAACCTACGTCTTTCTAGTATGCAAATCCTCACTGTTAGCCACTAACTTCTCCTGCTTCCCAACTTGATTAATCCCTAAAAAAAAAAAAAGGTCCATAACCCTCTGGGGCCTGAGCACATAGCCATCAGCAGTGTGGTCTCTAAAAGGGAAGCTTTCTCCTGCTAATTCTCCTTGCCCACATCTTAAAGACTGCTGTAGTATTTCTCTGTGCAGAGAGGAAGAAGGTATAAGAATGTTCCCCAGTCAAACAATGTCCTGCATACTTGCCCAGGATGGGGAATTCAGCTGCTGGTCTCTTTCAGCAACCAAGAGCTGAGTTGGACTCGTGGCTCTTGGTTGCCTGAAGGTTCCGAGACAGGAAAACTCCCTTGCTTTCCACTTTTATTTGCAGCACAGATGACAGCCCTGGGGACTGGCTCTGGCAGTATGGTTGGGTTTTACTCCCACCCAAATTATTTATACGACCGGAAGGCTCTGAATTGTGTGCCAGGCACTGGTGGGTGGGTGGGGTCATTCCTAAGGGTTTGGCTCAGACCTGCCTTCCAGCAAGTAGGAACGCTACATGTCCCCCACACATTCCCCACACTTTCCGCTCTCAGCTTTGTTCAAGTGGTTTCCTTCCCCTAGGCATGCCTTCACCTCCATGGCTACCTACTGAAACCCATCTGTCACGGCTCCACACAAACGTCACCCCGGAAAGCCCTCCTTGATCCCATCTTTCTTTTCTTTTGAACTTCCAAAGCACTTTGCCAGTCCTTCTGTTTTGGTACTGACCCTCCCTGTCTTGAAGGCTGCTGGGTATGTGTAGGGAAAGCTTACAGAGGCAATAACCCTGGCTGGATTCATTCTAAGGAGCTTTGGTGGTGCAGTGGTTAGGTGACTGGCTAAGGACTGAAAGGTTGGCGATTCAAACCCACCAGCCACTCTATAGGAAGAAGATATGGCAGTCTGCTTTCATAATGATTACAGCCTTGGAAACCCTCTGGGGCAGGTCTATTCTGTCCTACAGGATTGCTATAAGTCAGTATCAACTCAAGGGCAGTGGGTTAGGTTTTTGTTGTGGGTTCATCCGGGGCTGGCTCCATGAATGTCTAACATAATACTTGTAGTCTTGTTCATGGTCAATATTTTCTCATTCTGGGATATACAGTGACTTATTCCACATCATTATTTTTGAAGACTTGCGGCTCGTGCCCATTAACCTCTTAAAATATATTAAGCATGTTCTGATCTTTACAACAATCATATTTCATTGATGAAGAAACTAAACATAAGAAGTGGTGACTTGTCCAGAACCCCTCAGCTGGTAAGAATGGGAACCAGGATTAGATACAGGCAGTCCAATATCAGCGAACATATTTAATCACATTATTATACACTTCTGGAAGAGAGTCATTATTCATATGACATTTTATGTAATAACCTTTTTTTCCCCCCAAGAAGAACTCTTAATTTTTTTTTTTTTTAAAGAAATCAACAATATCGTAGAATCATGGAACCATATAACTTGGTTTAAAAACTTGTAAATGATGGGCACCAAGCCCTACCTTGGGTCTCCAGGTCTCCTCATTGCAAACTTTTCTTCCACAGAGTATTTCCCACAGCGTCTAGCACAGGCCGTGGGGAGAGGAGGGACACACTATGCCTGGCTGTGTGAGGGACTGCAGGGACGAGTGAGTGAGTAAGGTGGTACTGGAGAGGAAGCCACCAACTGACTACATTTTCTGCCCTGACAGGACAGTGGGGCTGATTTTGGAATAGTGATGGAAGTGAGGATCCTTCCCACACACTCACCTGTGTTAACCCTGCCATAGTCCACAAAGATCTGCAACATGACAGAGCCCAGCAGGTAGCCAAAAGCTGGTCCAAACACAGAGATGGCAAACAGGATGGCTGGAAATGGAACAGGGGAGAAGAAGCTGAGAAAGTTTGGCAGCCTCAGGTTCCCAAGCTGAGGGGGGTTCCTGCGATAGCATCTCATCTGTCCCCTGGTCACTATAAGTCCACACCCATCACACCCATGGCATCTCTAGGAAAGTACATGGCCTCCATGGTATTTTGTTGTTGTTTTTTTAAATTTTTATTTGACTTAAGTGATAGTCCACATGGGAGAACATCGGCTTTCTACTCATCATTTCAATGCAATGATTACAGTCTCATCATTCGATAGTATTTGACATTATACCCTCTGTTTTTTTTTTTTTTTAATGTACACAAAAACACTCAGGAATATATAATCATTTAAACATTCAAATGGCACATTCTACAAGCCAGTCTCCTGGCCACCAGCACACAGCCTTTCTTTTTCCATGAGTCTAGAGTCCTCAGATGCTCTATTTCTCCATGTCCTCATCTCTGCCTCCATCTTTGGTGTTGCTGTCTCTCTGGATAGGGTCCCACATTCCATCCCTCATCCATGATATTTTAAAGATGCCAGCCCAAGGGATATGTTGATGGGTGAAGCTCCCTGCAGGGACAAGGGTACTGACCTAGGCAGGAGCTTGTGGGGACACTGAGTCTGTAGGGTTGGTTTGTGTGGTCAAGGGTGTGGGCTCTGAGAATGTTGAATGGGGTTTGTTCTAAAGGAAAGGTTTGGGCATTTCAATGGCCATCCACCATCTACATGTATTTCTTTGAAGCCAACGTTGTCCCTGAGGATACATGTGCTTGGATGTGTCTGGGATAGAAAGCAACAAAAGTTGCTGTTTGTTGAGGAATTACCTGGAGCTCAGGACAGAGCCAAGTATTTACATGTAGCATCTCACAGTCACCCAATGCAAATAATGCTAACCCCACTGTGCAGGTGCATGCCCTGAGCCCTGGGGTTTAATCACTTGTTCAGCATCTCATAACTGGTAGAAAACAAAATTAGCTTCTAAACCCAAGTCTGTTTGACTCCCAAACCTCTGCAATTATTAGCTGTTGGAGAAAGAAAGTCACCTGGATCCTGTCCTTCACTGGGCTCAACAAGTGCCATGTCAGGACCTGACCTCCCACTCCCCATCACAAAGCCTTCTTCAAACACACCACTCACAGATATACAGGGGTGAGTTGTTGGGCTCTGCAAAGTCATCCACATAGGAGATTCCAAACGGCTGAATGGGTACCGTCCCGATGCCGGCCAACAGCTGGGCCACCACCATCAGGCCCCACATACTGCTGGTCTCCTTCCGGGTGTCCTGGTTGGTGTTGTGGCATTTATTGGGAAGCAGTTCTTGCCTGTGATTCTGACAGAGCTCAGCTTGGAAGTCGCTGCTGTTTCCTGCAATGAGAGTACACACTGGTCGTCATCACCTGGTTCTACCAGTTGGCCTCTCTCCCACATCCCTCAGGGAGGGGCCAACTCCGGGCCAGAGGCTGTGCTGGCAAATGATGAATGGTCCCTGAGGACCACCTCCTTCTGTTTGGATGAATGGTGGGACTCTAGAAATAAAGCCAAGTGTGGCCTCATCCTCCAGGAACAGCCCGCTCCAGTGGTGTGCATTCTTTCTCCTCTACAGAGGCTATGGGAAGCCGGAGCATGGAGGAGTCAATACCTTCATCCCTGGGTCACCCAGCTGGAAAAGGGGAAGGCAGAAGTAGCCTTGTTAGCCCCCATGCTCTGTGCTCAGTCCTGGGACTCTGGGACCCCCAGGTAAGGCTCTCTACACTAGAACAGAGGTCATTTTGTCCCACATAAGAAGGTGTCAACTCCAGCCTGGGATCATGACTCCCCAAACCATTCCTCCTAAATGTGCCCGGTGCCATATCACACGGCAGGACCTACTGCCCCAAACAATTAATGTCCTTACCATCTCTGGGCTGCTCCCCAAAGTCATAAAACTTCCTGAGGCTGGAAGAGACTCTTGAGACCCTCTAATTCAACCCAACCTTTTACAGAACTGAGGCTGTAACTGAAGCAGCCAGGCTGCACCTTAAGACCCATCTGTGAGGGCCCCAGTTGCCCCCAGTGGGCTGCTCCTTGTGGCTGTGGACACCTGGCCAAGTGGGGGCCTCAGCTTCCACGCCTCTGCTTTTAATTAGGCCAACCTTAAACAATTAGCATTGCAGAACTCTCCAAGGCCTGAAGCATTCTGAGAGCACGTTTCTGTGAGATCCTTTCTTGTCCTACCTTGCCCAGGCCAATGGAAAACCACTGGCATCACCCTCCTCACTCACTTAACTCTAATGCAATTCAGTTTAATTTTCATTTGTGTTGCTCTCAAAGAGGGCATGGCCTGGATCTAGGTGGCTTTTATTGGTCACAGTCAGGGAAAATGAGTTATAGACTAGTTTCTTCTCACACTGGACTCTGACCAGGACTGTCAAGCTCAGTGCTGGCCCTGATAGTGGGACTAGAGGGGAGAGGAGATGCTCTGCTCTCTTTAATTCCCACAGCCCCCCACCCACACACACCATCCACCCTGGTGCCATCATGGCTCATTCACCACACTGGCATCTCTACAGAATATGTTTGAAAACTGCTGGTCTAGGGAATTCACTCAACAGTTGGGGAAGCCTGTCTGAGGAAAAGCCAAGCCGGCTGCCTGGTCAAGGTCATCTAGACTAAGAGCAAGGAATGAGTACCTGGAAAAGCAACCAGTCCCCTGAACTATGAATAGTGTTCCCTCTGTAATGAACAGTGATGTAACCACAGAAAGATGAGAACTATGGAGGAAATGTGGGCTTATTAGCAAGGAAAGAAAGACAGAACATCTTGTTAGAACAATATGGTGATGGTGGCGGTTATGTGCCGTGGAGTCGGTTCTGACTCATAGCAACCTTGTATAGGGTTTTTGAGGCTGTAAATCTTTATAGGAGCAGAAAGCCTCATCTTTCTCCTGAGGAATGGTTGGTAGTTTTGAACTGCTGAACTTGAGGTTAGCAGTCCAACTTGTAATCACTATATAGGCATTAACTTATGAAACTTATGTGAACTGACAAATGTATAGAGGAAAAACTCCGTAATGACTCTGGATTGTGGACTAGATTTGGGTTGTGGGATTCAGGTGATCTTTTCTGCATTTGTCTAAATGTGTTTTCTAATTTTTTCTATAAAGAATGCATGGTACTTTTGAAATATAGCAAAAATTTAAGTTTTTCCATTAAAAATTTCCATATGGAAAATATATACAAAATTGAACCACGTCTCTTCCATTCAATTTCTTTTACTCCATTCCTATTGCCCTTTTCCTGGTTTAGGGATCTCTCACACCAGGGCTGTGCTTCTCTGTGCGCAGAGAATCCACTACCACCACCTCCTCTCCCCTGGGGGGAGGGGGGGATTCTTGAGTCTTCCCTGATTTCTCTACTATAATGACCCAAGTTTGAGAACTTTTTTTTTTTTTAATTGTGCTAAATATATATGGGGAATACATATGGGAATTCTGCTGTGGTACTGTAGGGTAAGCACTGGACTGCTAACTGCAAGGTGGATGGATCAAACCTACCAGCTGTTTCTTGGAAATCCTATACAGGATCCCTATGAGTCAGAACCAAATCAATGGCACTTAACAACAACAACAAATACATATGTAAGAGCATTGGTGGTGCTGTTTTAAGGATAAGCGCTGAAGTGCTAACTGCAAGGTTGGAAGTTCAAACCCATTAGCCAGTCTGTGGGGAAAAGATGAGGTGGTTTTTTTTTTTTTTTTGCTATCTTCAAGATTTAGGGTTCCTATGAGTCAGAACTGACTCGGTAACACCTAAAACACCTAACAACAAATATATATGTAATAAAATATTTGCCATTTCAGCATTCTTCAGATGTATAATTACATGACGTTAATTGTGTTCCTAATGCTGCCTGCGCCAGAATTTTTAAACTCTCATTTACTGAACCTGCCCAGCTGTGCTGAGGTTGTTACGTGCATTTTAGCCTGTTTACAGAGGGTGCTGGCCTACCTGAGGGACCAAGTAGGGGCAGAGCTAGGATTTGCATAATGGTTTGTTAGACTCAAAATCCATACTGAAGACAAGCTTGAAGTGCCAGCTTTGAAAACACAGAATATACATTTAAACTTCTGCAGGGCTGGAAGAATAGGCTCCAAGGAGAATTCTCTCATCCCTACCCAAATGCACAGCTCTCCTCCTTCTCACAGTTGGTGGCTGGCACTTTACATTTACACACCTACTTCCTGTCAGGTGGAAGTGTTTAGGAAAGGGGCTGGCCGCTGGGAATTTTGCATCTGGGACTATGAGATGAAATCAAACCATAGTACAATCCTGGTGTGGCGCTGCTGGTTAATGTGCCAGACTGCAAAGTCGGTTTGAACCGCAAGCTCGGCAGTTTAACTTCACCAGCT